TCTGCCCGCAGGCAAATGGTGCCGTTTTGGAACCAGGTCTGGGGGTTGATGCGGAGGTACCGGGCGACCACCGGGGTCGGCAGCAGGTTCAGCACCGGCGTCTCGGGGTCCTTGTTCCCTGGGAAGACCTGGGGAGGGGGGGACACGTGGACACAGCCCCTGCGAGTCCCTGTGGAGCACTGACCCCCAGAACCCCCACCCAGCACCTGGAGGGGAAGGTCCCCACAGCATGGTCCCCAGGAAGGAGCACAGGGACCCCCAGACCCTCCTCTGGCACAGGGAGCTCCAAGACCTGGCACAGGGACCCCCAAACCTGCCCCCAGCACAGAGACCCCCAAACCCAACCCTAGCACAGGGACCCTCAAATGCACCACTTGTACAGGGACCCTCAAGACCTGGCACGGGGATCCCCAAAACCTAGCACAGGGACCCCCAACCCTGGCACAGGGACCCTAAAATACACCCCTTGTACAGGGACACCCAAACTAACCCTGGCAGAGGGACCCCCAGACCTGCTCCTGGCCCAGGGACCCCAGACCCCTCCCCAGCACCCCCTGGCACAGGGCTGGCCGTGGGCAGTGTCACAGGCTCGGGCAGCCCCCCCATCTCACCCCACCTCGCACACACGTGTGCCCCCCCGGGGTGCTCACACCCACATGTGACCCTGCGTGTGCCCCACGTGTGTCCCGGTGCCGCATCCCCTGGCACAGGTTGCTGTGCCACGTGGCACCATGACACCCACACGTGCCCCTGCCTGGCACACGCGTGTGCACGGGGGGGCTGGGGTGGCAGCCGGGGACAAGTGGCCTTTGTGCCTGGTGCCGGGAGGGCCGGAGGATGCTCCTGGGTCAAGGCCAAAGGCAACAGAGCTGGGGCCAGACCCAGCAGCATGGCTAACCTGGTTAACTCCTCCGGCACGGTTAACCACCTCCTGGCATGGTAAACCACCTCCCTGGCATGGTTAACCACTCCCCTGGCATGGTTAACCACCCCGCTGGCACGGTTAACCACCCCTAGCATGGTTAACCACCCCCTAAACACAGCTAACCCCCCAGCATGGTTAACTCCTCCTGGCACCATTAACTCCTCAGCACAGTTACC